TATAAATTATAAAAATAAAAATAAAAATTTATTCACTTTATGAAAAACAAAAATATTTTATAATAATTAAAAATAATGTTTATAAAATTTAGAAAAATAAAAAATATCTCAAGGATGTGAGGTATATGAGATATGTTGATCTCATCAATCTAGTGCTTTTAGCACAAATAAGGAGTATTTCATTTATCTGATTGGTCGGTACTATCTAGAGACTCCAACTCCTAGTAGTACCTTTCCCTCTATAAGCAATACTCTCTACCAACTATGTCACACATTTTGCTACCCCATTCCCTTTAAGTTTTCATTTTTTGTTTGTTTTCCTATATATTATTTTTGTTTACTCTACCCTGAAACTCCATCTACTTCGCTTTTTTCTACTACATTGAAACCGACTATGTCTACACTTGAACCATCTCAAAATGACTATGAAAACACTCTAACTTTATTGTCTGGCTTTCTCGTATGAGCTCTATGTGCTTCATACTAACGACTAATATGCTATCAACATAAATTTAAGAAGTTGCTCACCAGACTTAACATGGAGATTAACTTAGACAAAGATGAATAGTTTTGTATTGACTTTTGCTAGTGCTAAAAGGGGGAGTAGTATATTTGATTTTGATAAATCCTTTGTTAATTTTTCTATTGAACATATGCTCTAAACAATTATTGTTTTTGAACAATTATTTTGCTCTAAAACTAATGCTCTATTTTAAGAGGAGTGTATTTACTTTAGTACAATATTTTCTTTAATCTTAACTCTAACTTTGATAACTTTAGATTTTTAACATATTGATCTCTTACTTTAATAAAATACATAATACTCTAATATATGTATTTGCTTGAATATATACTTTGAAATGTATGATTTGTTATGAATAACTATATTATGTTTGTTACAAATATTTGTTTTGATATAACGTTGATTGTTTTGCTCTATTTTAAGCAAATTCTTATAATGTTTCTAATAAGATTTTTGCTATAATAAAAGCTTCAAATATCTAAGCAAAGACATTATTGTGTTTGATCTTACAAAAAAAAAATTTAAATCTTTAAGAAAAGATCAATTCGTCTTTTTAAATAGATTCGTACATCGAAAATTTTCTCTTATCAAAAACATGTTTGTCACTATAAAAAAAGGGAAAAATTGTTTGGTCAAAATATTTTTAAACCCCTTAAGTTTTTAAATTTTAATGTCAACAAACATAAATATTTTTCTAGAGAAAAGTTTTATGAACAAAGCATTAAAACAAATAAGTTATCTAGTCAAACAAAACACTTAGTTCGAAAGATGCACTTTGATTTTATATCATTTATAATGTCCAATAATTAAATTATTTGTGTTTATATGATTCCTCAATAGATCAAATAAACAAAAACTTTCTTGGTACTCACATTCACTAAAAGAAACAAGAGACATGTTTTGTGTCAAAAAAAGAATAATAGATCCCCCAAATCACAAAAAAGCGTCAGATAAAGTTGTTCAAGATTGTTTTAACCCGACACACACATGGTTATAATCACTCAATACTTAAAAGATGATAAGTAACTTTCTTGATCGAATAATAAGTGACTATTTGGTGAAAGTATTTAATGCACCAACGGACATTTCTTTCCATAAGGAACAAAGATGAAGACAAATGAAACAAGTAGTGAGAGATGCTCGAGGATTTACAACGATTATCTTCATTGAAGCACTTGTATAAGAAAACATGATGATTCAAAAAAAATAATAATAAAAAATTGAACCAACTATTGATCATATTCTTTCTTTCTATAAGATAACTTTGTATTGTATTAGTTGTATCACGCCTTGAAAGTAAAACAAAAAATAACATTGTTAGATTTTACTCAAAAACTTAGTATTATTATTTTGAGTCTAGAGAGGTTTGACTATAAAAGATTACTTAATGTTAAAGTCTGAAGAAACTTTGTGTCAAAAAAAATACTTTGTTTTTAAAGTGTAGAGAGACTTTGTGTTTAAAAAATACTTAGGTAATTGCTTAAAAAAACAAGTCAAAGAATATTTAGATTTGAATCAGAAGTATTTTGGAAAAAGAATACTTGTATTTATATAAGATAGCAGAACCTGATCTAGTTGGATCAATAATCAAAGATAGTCTCAATGATTGAAACGAACTAGTATAAAAATCTCATATATTTAGTCTCTTAACTTTTCATCTACACTTTTTCATAAAATTACTACTTCACTATTTTTGAAAAGTGTGAGTTTTCTAATGACACAATTCAACTTTCCTTATAATATCTCTGTATTCTCCATAGACAATAATACACAACTTATCATAGAAGAATTATTATTTAAAAAATAAGTTAGAAAAAACTTCAAATAAACTTAATTATACTTTTAACATGGAATAACTAAGAATGATAGAAAATTAAGATAATATAAAATGAATTCTAAGTTTATTGCAATTTTTTTTCTAAAAGAATAATATATTTTTAATCTTTTTAATTAATTTTAAGATTATATTTAATCCAACAATAAGAGTTGTGAAAAAAAATAGGGTAATTGAACAAATAAGCTCAAAAATATCTATATTTTAAGATTGTTATTCATAAATTAAAGATAATAAATATATAATTTTTTTATATAACTTTATTAAAACAATTAGCTATTTTAATAAATATTTTTTTTATTTTATTGATTAAATAATTTATGAAAATATATATTAAAAATAATAATTAATTTACACTAATAATAAAAATATCCTTTTTAATGTCTATTTTTATTATTAATAACTATATATAATTTTTAATAACCATACAAACAATTTTATACTTTTACATCTATAATCTATAACATGTATATAAAAAAAATATTTTATTTTAGTCTTCAAATTCTTTTAACCATTTTATCTTTTAACTAATTTATTTAACTACTTTTTATCATTTAATTAATTTTTTAATTACTTCATTATTCTGAAATTACTCGTACATTTTTTATTTTCATCATTTTTATTTTTTGTTTTTCATTTTTTTATGAGCCTTATTTTCACTTGTTAATAATAAAAGAGGTTGTCTTATTAGTGTCTATTTTTATCTTTCCATTTTAATTTCGATAATTATACATAATTCCTAATAACATTCTTTTTTTTATTTTATTTTAGCATATATATATATATAGAGAGAGAGAGAGTGAGAGAAATACAAGAACAGCATCCATAGGGTTTCCAACGTGGAACAGCAGGTCCGATTAGCAAAGCCAAAGAGGAAGGACGGGGGAGAAAAGAGCAACTCAACGCTATCAAAAGTTTCAAGGTTTCAGCAAAATCCATTTTTTTTTCCGGATTTGAGTTGGAAGATCGAAGAGGTGAGGGATTTAGAGTTCAAACTTATATCCCCTGCTCTTTCTCTCAATTCATGGAGTTAGATTCGTTGAATTGTTTCTGTGAGTTTGGTTTTGCCATTTTGGTAAACTAGGATTTTGAAAGGGAATCGTGTTTCTCATGGAGAAGTCTTGTGTTTTCTGTGGTAAATAAGCTATTGGATTGGGTTATTTAGTTTTGCTAATAGAGGAGGGGTTAAGGGTGGTTGGAGAAATTTGAACAGTTGAGAAAGTTAGAGAATTTCACAAGCCAAGTGATTGACAAGAGTTCAGCCCTCAAATCATGAGATAAATTGATGTTAAAGTGTGGATTACGATAGTAGGCACTATAAGCTTTAAATCCATATCGATCTATGCATCAGTTTGAAGTTGGAATAGCTTTGGGCAAAATTTTCTGCTGTAAAATGAGGATAACTTGTGCTACAAGAATGGGTTTTTGGTGAAACAAAATTTGTTTGAAAGTATCAAACTGGAAATTTTCAAAATTTAATCTTACATACGAAATGTATGTTATGGTTGCTAGGTTGAGCTTGCTAGTTGACTCATGACCCCACATATATAACTTGGTCTGCTGAGCTTGCCAATCGAGGCATGGCCCTGGATGTATACTAGGGCAGTTGAGATTAATGTCTAGCTAGTAGCTTGGACTTATATACTTAATCATTGTGGTATATATATGCATTGGTGGAGCTATTGATGATTTGGATTTTGCCGAATTATAATGAGAAGTGGTAACATAACTATGTTACTTTGGAGAAAAATATGAAAAAAAGTGTTATTACTTATGAGAAAAATGAGATGAAAATGTATAGTGGTTTGAAAGTTTACTGCACGTATGTGTATTTTGGGGTGACCTCATTGAGTCTTAGTAGGCTCACTCGTCTATTAGGGATGTGAATAATGTTAGATCATTCCACTTTGTTATTTTTGTTTTGAATTGCTATAAATTTGATATGAATGATTTTGCTTTGAAAAGTTATTATTCATGAAGGTTATTACAAATAATTAGGACGGAGACAGAAATATTTGTTTCACAAAGTGAGTGCAGAAGCAAGGTACCCTTAACCTTGTGTTGTTTTGGAGTCCTATCTTTGGACCAGGTATGTTTCCCCTTCTCTCTCTCTCAATTCAAATTTTGCGTTACTCCACCTCCTTCCATTTCTTACAATTGTTCCTTAGCCTGTTGAGCAATGCCCACGACTTTGCGTTTCAACTATTTGATTAAAGTTGCCATGTTAGATCATTCCACTTTGTTATTTTTGTTTTGAATTGCTATAAATTTGATATGAATGATTTTGCTTTGAAAAGTTATTATTCATGAAGGTTATTACAAATAATTAGGACGGAGACAGAAATATTTGTTTCACAAAGTGAGTGCAGAAGCAAGGTACCCTTAACCTTGTGTTGTTTTGGAGTCCTATCTTTGGACCAGGTATGTTTCCCCTTCTCTCTCTCTCAATTCAAATTTTGCGTTACTCCACCTCCTTCCATTTCTTACAATTGTTCCTTAGCCTGTTGAGCAATGCCCACGACTTTGCGTTTCAACTATTTGATTAAAGTTGCCAATGAAATCCTTTTATTAAGAAATGGGTTTTTTTTTTTTCATTTTTAATGTTTTACTTTTACATGTTTTTTTTGGCTACACTTGTTGATCATGTTTAGGTGATTTCCCCATGCTCCTCTCCTACCCTTGCTTTGCCACTCCCCCAATTATTAAAACTTGCACTTTCTTTTAAAGCTACCTGATCTTTTGCAAGTTCTAGAACTCTTACAGCACGCGCTTAACAAAACATGATAGATAGTTAGATATATTCTCAAGTAATTTTGCATTTTTTACATGACAGATATAACCAGTGGAGGAATGTTGAAAAAGGGGTAGTGGGGGGGGGATTATATTTAGTTGATATTTTGCAATTTGCATTCACTAGATAGTCAAAACATGAAATGAACTTATATTTTGTATGTATATTGAATAATTGAAATGCTTGCCTTCTCGTTTGATATACAGTGTTCTAATATATAGTTAGATATATATTGGTTTCTTGAGTTATATGTGATATGCCAAAAATATGATATGAAAAAGTGATTTTTTTTAATTATATACTTATTAACGAGGATTATATTGTAAAACAGATATGGTTATCCCACCTCCAGTGAGGCCTCCAAGGATTACAAAATTTCTCAAACCTTATGTTCTGAAGATGCATTTTACCAATAAGTACGTGAGTGCGCAGGTGATTCACACCCCAACAGCTACTGTAGCCTCTTCAGCAAGTTCACAGGAGAAAGCCTTGAGATCAAGCTTGGAAACTAGTCGTGATGTGGCTGCAGCTGCAAAGATTGGGAAGATACTAGCAGAACGCCTTTTGCTTAAGGACATTCCTGCCGTTTCTGTTCACTTGAAGAGAGAACAGAAGTATCATGGTAAGGTTAAAGCGGTTATTGATTCTCTCAGGGAAGCTGGTGTTAAGCTGCTTTGAGTCATGATGATTGTTGGTATTTATTTGTACCTCAGAGAAATCATCCTTGTCAGATCTTGTCTTCGTCTTTATTTTTTAAGTTGTCATCATAATAGGAAGTTACTCATTGAACATATTTCACTAAGACATTAGTTAATTTACGTTACTAGAAATAAGATGATTGTTGATGGATGCTTATAGCGTGTTTGTTTTACTCATTTTTAACCGTCTAATGCTCTTTCAACACCAATCCATGTCTCTCTGGTCATTGGTGTTCAACTAAACTGATCGGGTATTCAAACACGCCCTTAAAGTTGCTTAAATGTGTAACTACATAAGATATCGACTGTGGTCTGCTCACCAAAATGGTAGATAGACATAAACTATCAGGGCAATACACTCCTGTTTGGATCTTAAACTAAGACAAGTTTATTATAACACATTACAGGGGCATTTGGAATGTAAATGAAAAAAACAGATAGCTACATGAAACACCAAGGTGACAGCGCTTTAGAAATGGTTGGTACTTGGAAGTATCTCATATTCCCAGATATCCTTTTTGGGATGACTTAATAGTAATGCTTGCAAACATGCAGTTTGATTCTTAGTTTTAAACACCAGAGGCCGATAAAAAAAAAGGTTAATTAGTTTTTTGTCGATATAATTTCATAATTTTTATTTTTTAAATCTCTATATTTAGTTTTATATATATATATATATATATATATATATATTTTTGGTATCATTTAGTTTCTGATGTCTATTTTTTATAGGGATTACAATATAAAATTGTTGTAATTATTGAGACTAAAAGGATGAAAAATTATATGTATATATATTAAAATTTAATATTTTTAATTATTAAAACAAAAAGGTAAAGTTCATTAAACTTAAAAGAGTAATTAATCTTAAGAAAAATATACACACAATAACAAAGCAGGTAAAAATAAAGGAAATAATCACGCAAATGCAGATTCTAAGCCTGTTATACGAAACACCCACACACGTAAAATATAAAAGAAAAAACAATGCTGCTTTCGGAGATCAAGAATTACAGAGTGAAAAGAAATGAAGCAGTTGTACAATTTTAAAAAAATAAATAAATAAGAAGAGGAGTTTGAGAAAGAAAGGGAAAAGACATAATTGTTAGAGACAAATATGATGAATTGGAGTTCACAAGTTGTGTAGTGGTGCATTCGTGCTCATTATTGAGTCGTTGTAAGAAATAGAAAATAGAAGACTGAAAAACAGGAAAAGAGAAACAAATACAATAATATGATTTCTGAAGTCACGAAGTCCTCCATGAAGAATAAGAGAATCAATGGAGAAGGTTGAGCATACGGTTTCAGAAATGAAATACAACACATTAAAAAGGCCATAAAGCTATAATTAAAGCGCTTAAAGATGATAAATTAAAGCGCTTACTTTTTTACAGTTTAGGGTTCAAATTACCAAATTTGAGACTTGAATCAATCTATCCGGACAATAGGTTTAAAAATTTGAATCATGGACCTTAAACCCTAAAAATCCGAAGCAACATTCCAATTCAAAACAAAAAAAAATGGCAAATTGTTCATTGACAAAAAAAAAGGATCTGAATGCTAAAAGAAAAAGTTGTTAGAAAAAAATAGAAAAAATTAAAAAGAAGAAAATAAAATAGGAGTTGTAATATCGTAAACAAATATTCATTCTAATAAAACAACTTATATTAGTAAAATGATAGAATTTGAAGAAGAAAAAAAATAGATGGCAAGAACTAATCCGAAATTTCTTTTTGGAATGTCCTTGCGAGATACTATTTTAAAAAATTAAAAAGGGGCTCAAAGCCCAACAATAATAAAAAAAATTGCAATTATTTGCATCACATTTGTGAAAATTTCTAACAACCATGAGATTTTCTTATCCAAAATGGAAAATGAGACCTTATTCACAACTTGAGAAATTCTTCTGCTTGAACTTATGGTCTTTGCTCTTGAGAGGTTCATTGGTGTGAAAATTTCTCGCAATGATGAACTCTTCTGGTTGACTGTGTTATCGGAGAGGTTCACGGGCGTGAGAAAATTCTTATGTCCATGAACTACATCATAAGCTCCAAAATTCTTTTTCTTCTTTTAAAGTGTTTCTCTCGTCATTAAAAATTATTTTCCGTATTTCAATTTTCAACATTTTTCCTCCTTAAAACACAAACACTATCAAATGTATAACAAATATATATATAAAAAAAGGGTTTAAATATATTTTTAATCCCTCAAATTTAGGATAAATCTGATTTTGGTCCCTCAAATTTAAAATTATTGTTTTTAGTTCCTGTAACTTCAAAAAATCTTATTTTAGTCCTTATAATCAAATTTTGTTAAGAAATTTATTCAAATATTATTGCATAAAATCTACCTATTGATATTTCTATGAGTGAAAATATCACATTAAATTTGATTGATATTGCATAACTGTCTTAATTAGTCACTTTCAAATATGTTATTGGTAACCGAAATGACTAAAACAAAATTTTTGAAAATTACAGGGACTAAAAATAGTAGTTTTAAATTTGAGGGACCAAAAACAAATTTATCTTAAATTTGAGGGACTAAAAACATATTTAAACAAAAAAAAAAGATAAAACAATTAAAACTAATGATTTTTTTTTAATAAACATAGTTCACACAGAGTCTCAAAATTTATAACTAAAGATTAATATGTAATCTTGGGATGTATTTTTTATTGGTCAATCATTATTTTATCACAAGTAAAAATTGAATGTATGAACACTAAATCGATGTCATGTATCCTGAGACAAGTCTTATAACTATTGAAATAAGAGGTTAATGAAATTCATGCCAAAGAAGAGATTAATGCAACTTTCCTAAGTAAATGTTATCTAAATCTATACTTCATGCGAGAGGTTAATGCAACTTTCCTAAGTAAATGTCATGTAAAAATTGTTATGATATACAATGCATCATAAGTACATAGTGTTTCACTTTATAAATTGTGTATTTTGATTCATAATACAATAATAAATAATGAATTTGTTCAATTTTTATCAATAAAATAAAATATTATTTCCTTAAATTAATATATTAAATTAAATGGAATTTAGTATATTTTAATTGCTTTAAAATAAAATATCTAAATATTTGTATGATTTTATATGATAAATAATTTTTTACATAAATATTTTGTATTTTTTCCTTAACCATTATTGTAACCTGGTTAACAACATTGTGAGTCATTTAATAATAACTAATAGTTGGACACAACATACAGGTACAAGTTCACATGCACCTTGTCGGGTGAACAATCACTGTGTTAGTCAAGTTCCATTTCATCCACAACTAAGGAATATGTGAGTGGAATTATTGATTTTCAAATTGAAAGTTTTAAAGTTAAATTTTCAAAATTTTAAAAACTTAATATGCATGTATATCGGAATTGGAGGTTAAACAAACATGTTTAGATTTTAGTAGTGCTTTCGATTTGAGTCCGGTTACCTAGAAAATCAGGTTAAGTATAATTTTAAAATTATAGCTTAAATAAAATTATATTATTAATTTTGGTATGATATGTTAAGTTTAACAAGTAAAACGGTCTTAAGTTTGATTCATATGTTTATGGATTGAGTCGATAAATTAATAATTGAAATAATTTAAATTAATATAAATATGTAATGTGTTATAAAATAATATAATAAAATATATTAATTTTAGAATAGTAATATTTTTTTTATTATTTTTAATTGACTTGTGCTTACAAATTTAGAGTTAAGATTAATTATTTTGAAAGTTTTGTCGTACTCATAATCATATTATCCTCTTAATGACTTGACTCCGTGACTCATCATCTCTGAAGACACAATCACGTTTACATATGTGCTTATGAGGTGATGATAATGACACAACGTCATCGCTCATAGCGCATAATTATAAGGTACCATTTTACTTTATAAGAAACATTATTTCTCTTTATGATATGATTTTTTTCTACTCAATTATTTAAATATATTTACTATCTGATAAGTCTTTTTTTTATGATATTTTTTCTATCTCATTTCAGTTATCATCTGTTGGGTTATTGTCTATTGTTGGTGCTACCCTCGCCTAACTCTTACAAAATACTAATTATGTTATTTTATTTTTTAATACTTATGTTGTGCAAACAAAGAATTTGTGAATTGAATTTTGCCTTGTTGTTACTTGTGAATTATACTAAGAATTATGTTAGCATGTTATTGCTTTATAATTTATTGTGTGAACTATAAATTGAATGAGTATACTTGTTTAATTTTGAATGTTGATGATATTTTGAATATGAAGGTTGATTTAGATACAATAAAAACTCCACTTAACATAAAAAGATAGTCTATTGTTGTTACTAATCCTTTTAATCTTGTTATAATTTTTATTTTTCTTTTTAATTGTAAAAGATATATTTAGTTTTTAAATATAATTAGACCAATTTGATTCGATGGCTCAACATGGGCCAGGTTGATCCATGAAATGACACGCATAAATTTGATATGATTTTACTTTTTAATTTATTTATTTGACTATTAAACTCAATCTAATTTTAAAAAAAAAGTAAAAATAATTAATTAATATAATTAATCTTAATGCATCTAAATATAAAATTGCTTTTACAATCTATATATATATAGAGAGAGGAGGCTTATAATAATACCGGTGTAACTTTTACTAAGTATTACATTGTTCAACAATTTTATATTAAATGTGAATTTTGTAAATCCAACTATTATATTGAAAGTTCATATTACTTTATAAGTTAATATCAAAATTTGTTAAAATTAAACAACAACTTGAAGGTAATCAAAGTATTCATATTTTAGTATATTTTAAAATGTATATATTAAGTAAATTTTATTTTATAAAAATAAAGTATCAAATTATTTTGAATTAATATAAAATTTTGTATATGTGATCTAAGAGATATGAACTTTCAATCTAATAATTGAATTTACAAAATTCATATTTAATAATTAATATAAAATTATTGAACAGTGCAATATTTAACAAAAAGTTACATAAGTGTTATTATAACCCATATATATATATATCATCTTGTCATTTACTTTGTTTAAGGTTAAATTTAACTCGTATTACATAATTTTTTTTTTCTTTTCACAAGGCTAGTATCACATAGTTTATTAACTGTCTAATTGGTTAAAGTTGACTCCGAGTTTATGT